TCCTTACGGTAATGTAGGATTTATATCATCAACTGTAGGTGTTGCATAAGGGTTGTGTAACGTTTTGAACTTCAAAGTATCATTTGGGGTTTTGGTAGGCCTGCCAGCTCTGTTTCATCATTTGCCTGAGCTGCCACTGACCCTCCGAGGCTACAAGAGGATTGCAGTGAAGGCAGTAGTAGTCGAGTTATTTCAAGATCCTCCCCGTCAACTGCTGTTTCATCATCACATCGATATGAGGTAGTTCTATCACCACCGCACGGAAATGGCAGTTTTACAAGACTTCAGAGCCCTTTTTCAGATCATGACCACTCGGATCCTTAGCACAAAGACCCTAGTATGCAGAAAGCTCCTCACTGGTTTCGAGTTTAAAATGTATCGAAAGCTTACAGGGTCCTCCCAAGCCACCGAAGATCAGGTGGCAGAAAAGACCACGCTGTTGGGCTTCATTGTATGGCGTATCAAGCCGGAGTGCCTGCTCTACAGAGAGAGTTTGGGGTTTTGTGTAAACCCTAAACTTTACACCTGGAACCTTAAACCCTAAACTCTAAACCCTGGACTCTAAACCCTAAAACCTAAATCCCAAACCCTAAGTCCTAAACCCTAAACCCCAAACCCTAGCCTAGGTTTCAATAGTTGAGCTTCAGAGTCTCAGGTTTCAACGTGGACGGTTTGGAAGATGAAGTTCCGAGTTTGGGTTTGCCAGTTTAGGGGCCTCTGGTGCGGATGGCATGGGAAAAGGTGGGTTTTTGCGCGTATCTTCCCAGACTTCGTGTGCTGGGTTGAGAGGTGGCAACAGAGATGCCAGCATGTTTTGGCTTTCCTGCCTTCTTGGGGTTCTTGTCGCACCGGCACCCCACATACACAACACCCTACTACACCCTGAACCACAATCGCTGCAGACTTTGCGACTGTACAGCCGAGGCGGAACATGCTCATCGTGTCGCAGTTGGCTGTTCCCTTGCTCTTGTTGGAAGATTGTTCCCATTGAGGGTTTTGGGTGTAGTGTGTTCTTGCATATGTGCAGAGGTCAGTAGTTACTGCCAAGTTAAAAGAGCCCCTAAACCCTAAACCCCTAAACCCTAAAACCATGAACCAGACAACACAAAGACTTGAGTTTCCCCAGCCGTAGTAGGGCTGTAGGATGCTCTAAGTCTCTTGAGATCGTTGTTTTGAGATTGCCCTTCTCCTCGTCTTATCCTCCTCCTATTTTGGGTTTAGGGTTTAGGGGTTTAGGGTGAAGAGGTAAACGGTTTAGGGTGTAGGGGTTTAGGGGTTTAGGGTGTAGAGGTTTAGGGTTTAGGGTTTTGGGGTTCAGGGTTTAGGGAAAACCTTTGCACTGTCAGGTTCCCGAGCAGTTTCGGCGACATGGCTTCGGGAAGATGCTGGTGGAATTGCTCATCGCAGAAGCGAAGCGCCTGCCCCAAGCCTCTTGGTCAAAAGTTCAAGGATCGTAGGGCTTAGGATATGGGATTTATTTAGGCTTTTGGGGTTTGGGGCTTTAGAGTTCAGGGTTGGGGGCTTAAGATATGGAATTGGGCGGGGGTTCCTTGCTGCTCGTGGTCACATGAACTCCTTAACAGGGTGAGTTTGTAAACCATTCAACGGTCCTGCCGCCGTCATGAAAACCAAACGTGTATAGTTTCGTGCGCTACGGACCCGTAGCCTGAACACCCAGGACCCTCAGCACTAGACCTAAACCGTGGGCACCCTCCATGTGATCACATCCCATAAGGTTTTTTGGAAGTCAGGTATCGGCTCAGCCTATCGTTCATTGGGAGGAAAACTTAGGGGAGCTCCGCCGTTCCCTCAAAAATCACACCCTCAAGCCCTCCACCCCTATATACAGGGCCTTCATAATTAGAAATAGGGTTTTGGGGCCCATGATACTCTAGCTATAGTAAGGAACCCCCAAAATACTAACTATAGGTGATTATTAAGGTCCCTACATTAATCCCTGAACCCTAGGCCCTAAATCCTCGATCCTAAAGCCCAAACCCTCTCTAGAGCATTGAAAAGCTCTTTCTAGAAGCCCTAAACCCTAAACCCTAAACCCTAAACCCTAAACCCTAAACCCTAAACCCTAAACCGTTCAGGAACCGGTAAGGAAGCCTAGCAAACGTTCAGAGGAACCCATCAGTCCCAGAAACCCTAATCTAGGGGCAAAATAATTACCCATACTATTTGTGGGGCTCCTTATTATAACCATAGTATAATATACCCCACAAGCCTATCCTTATTTTAGGGGTATATTATACTATAACCATAATAAGGAACCCCAAAACCCTATTCGAATTACTAAGGCCCTTACTTGGAGGTTCAGGGGTAGTTATACATGGTGTTATAAGTAGGGTAGCTATACCTATCACCCATACTAGGGGACCTATAACCCTACTTATAACTACCCATGAAACCCTAAACCCTAAACCCTAAACCCTAAACCCTAAACCCTAATCCCTAAACCCTAAACCCTAAACCCTAAACCCTAACAGTACACAACCCCTGCCAGCCGAGGTGTACACCGTGAGCCTCTCCTCACTGCCTGGGTCGGTGAAGTTCTACAAACGTCTCGGCTTCAAGCAGGCGAGGGTTTCCGGTTTAGGGTTTCGGGTTTCGGGTTTAGGGTTTTTAGGGTTTAGGGTTTAGGGTTTCGGGTTTGGGTTTGGGGTTTGGGGTTTAGGGATTCGGGCTTTGGGTTTAGGCAGGCAGGCTCGCGAGTTCGGGACTCCGGTTTCGG